CCATTACCAGCGCGGCGGAAGAAGAGAGACGGAGAAAAGACTCCGGTTCAGCCTCGTTACATGCGAAAATTTGCGTTAAAAATTTACATGCGAACAGCAAGGGTTTTCGGGGGCACACCACGCCCGATGAGAAATCGTTTAATAAATATCCGACGACTGCAGCTGGCAGTTGTTTTGGATGGAGACGCGGCGATACTGCTGAGAGAATAGCGTGACTGCGCTCCGTCGCTATTTATTATACGTTTACATGTAATTAGAATGCGTTTACCTGCAACGATCGAGTGCGCGAAATGTTTTACTCGTGTAATTATCTAGCTCATCGGAGCTCGCACGCGTTAAGGGTCGTGACTTTATATGGATTTGCTTGTAATACCCGACTTCTTATTGTCTTCCACGATACAATTAGACATGACACGTTTTTACAACGCTATTACTCATTAATTATATATATATATATATATATAAGTTAACAACTTAAATACACATGCAGGATAATCATAGGTATTATTAGTTCGTGATTTCATCAGGAACGTGAAACCAGGTTTCATGGTTCTATGCTTGTATCTATGTAGTAAACACTGTTCAATGTGAGCTGTAGAAACGGATCGTATGTAAGTAACGAAGACCGCTATTCATTACGACGTGTGGCTGAAGGTTGATTCAGAAGTTCAGACGATTTCAAATCACACTGGCAGGTGCGGGAGTTGGGGCAGGTTCCACAGAACACAAATGAATCAACGGCAAGCAATTAATCAAGCAATTGTTCGGCACTGCATGCGACGTGAAGATCGTAAATCCTCGCGACCTGGGATTGACATTGCTAGTCTGCAAATGAAACCCGAAACAAGATGTTGCCACATCGCTATAATGTCTAAGGTTTCTCAGCTGCTTGCTATCATGTACCTATGATGGAATGTGTCAAGCTACAACCACAACCAGCCCAGGGAATCGAATACATCAATCACCATCAACGAGACAGGAATCACGCGAACACGCCAGCTGTCGCATTTGCGGGTTGTTGCTTTTGCGCTATATCCAGGAGATAAAAAATGCGGAGATAGATGTAGTAAGATTCCGGCGTCGGCAATATACGATTCATTGCCGTCCACAAGAAAATCCGTCCTTAACTCAGGTCACTATATCATTTCTGCACCACCAATTATACGCGCGTAACCAGTGTTACACTATAATACAAGCAGAAGTACATATGGTTTAGGAATATAGCCGATTTATTTACTCCTGATATCGGTTCGCTTTGGCATTATAGTGTACACTGTGCAGCGGCGGGAAACGCGCGACAGCGCTGTCATATACTGCACTGTAGCAGCATAATAATAATAACTAGAGCACTCGGAGAGCACAGACCTCCGCCAAGGCAGCTGAATTCTCTCAATGTGAAAATTTTTATTAATTAATTAATTAAATGGAAAAATTAATTAATTAATTAATTGGATCCGGATCACCACCAAAATGTAATCAATTCTAAGTTAGCCCATTTCCGACGTATCCTGAAAATTTTATGACA